TGTATAGTTTGTAATATAGCTTTATTATATTGGGAGGGCAGCTTGCAGGCTCGTGTTTTCATTTCTTCCCAACCTTAACCTCAAGGCCAGAGTTGGTGCAAACACGCTGTCAGGGCTCCAACAGATCCACCCCACTTCAAAGCAAAAGTCTCTAGCCGCATCTCAGAAAAAAACAAATCGGTTTATTAGAAATGGCCATGTTGGCGCGTGGCTGGGTGCAGCCGGTACTAAATCACATCATCCATTTCCCCCTTGACCCCGGCCTTTCCCCCACCCCCTGGATGTGACTTCTCCAATGGGACACATCCGTCTCCAAGAGTCATCCATCATGCTCTCCAATAACCTTCTTATGCTCCGACAACTTTGGGCTACCGAGGTGATTATCTAGGCATTTAAGGAATGCCTTGTTTTTCGCTCACTCCCTTTTTCTGGCAACTAAAAAGACCAAAAGAGTGTCTTTTTAGTTGACACACAGACAGACAGACAGACAGACAGACAGACACACACACACCCCTAGCCTCACAAATAAGTCTCAAAGCAGGCTTGTGAGAATACAAAACCAGCCAAGAAAACCAGTTGGCCGTTCCTTATCCGTATCCCCTTGCCCGCCCCCAGAGCAAGCAAGCAAGCAAGTTTGGTCTTTTTCTCAGAAAGCTTTCCTCTGACTTTAAAAGCCTTTTTGGTCTAGTATGGAGCTCGCTCTCATTGGTCTTTAAGATTCAGAAAATATTAAGCCCAGCTGCCCCAGGAAGTTTTTCTGAAAAGGGCACCATAAATAGAATTGTCTTTGCTTGGCGGTTATTTTACATGGTGGAGTGATTAGCATTAAGAAGAATACTGAGGTCCGTTAAGCAACACCAGGGATAAAATCTACCCCTCTTCCAAAATTACCCAGCCCCCTGAGCCTCTGAGAAAACATAATGCTCTCCAGTCCTGATCCTTCCCAAGTTTTCCCCTTAAAAAGAGCTCCTTCTCGACGCTTGTTTGCAGCCTCTGTCTCAGTGCAGATGCTCTCAGTGCACAGAAAAAGAAAGACATTTGTCAAGAGTCCAGAATCATCAGGCGCAACACTTAATAATAGTCAGAAGATACAATAAGCAGTCGAGTTTTGGGAGTTGTAGCCTTATAATCATTATGATAAAAAGCACTATTTTCCTTTCCCCTCTTAGTTGGGTCGTCGTATCCTGCTGGTAACGCCGTTTGGTTATCATGGATCCTTCCCTGCCAGCTGTCCTGGATTATCCCCAACGTCAGCGCTGCTTCGTAGACCCATAAATCTCTCTTCCTGTTCGTTCCCCCACCCCCAAGGCAGCCCCCCCCCCCTGATTATAATATTAAGCTTCCTCTGCAGGATAACAAATAACAGCTCCTATCTCTTAACAGCCAGTTGCCTTGCCTGGCAGATGAATATCTCTTGTCCTAAACAGAATAGAAATCTTCTGGTCGGCTATAAATTCAGTCCAAACACTAGCAAAGGGTGGGGGGGAGGATCAGCCAGCCAGGAGCCCCTGGAGAAAGGGCCGGAAAGGGCTGGAGAGGCAGCCTGAGAGGAAGAGAAAAGAGAGCTGGAATTTGAGGACCAGGTGAGGGTTGGTGCTTTTACCAGAAAACTGAAGAGACAGGTAGGCAATCTCTGATACAGGAGGACCCCCGAGGGCCGGTTTAGGTTGGGGAGGGGTCAAGGGTCCTTCAGTTAACTCTCAAATAGGAGCCTGACTGACAAGGGGGACAGAGTCCAAATCACTGGAAGGGCCACGGATCTTCTGCCCTAGAAGCCACGGACTTCCAGGCCAGGGGTCTCCAACCTTGGCCACTTGAAGACTTGGGGACTTTCGACTTCAATTCTGGGAGTTGAATTTGGCTTTTCTCACGGTTTCAGGTTCTGTTTCCTCTCTCATACTGCTGGCTCCACAAACTGGTCAGGCAGGAAAGTGTGGCGCGCGCACACACACACGCACACACACACACACACACACACACACACACACGCCTCCAGAGCCCACAGTGACCGCCAGGAAAACCCAACAATGGCGATTCTCTTGCAGAATTCCTGCTATGGGTCAGGAAGGTTTTTTTCGTCCCCTCCTTCCAGCCCAGAGTGGGCGAGGAGGCAGCCATTTCGCTCTCGTGCCTCCCTTGTAAATTCCCAGGTGGACTTTTTTTGCACCGGGGACCCCCAGCAGGGCCATGCTGTGGGGGCTGGCCGGGGCCAGACGTGCTATACGTCTCTCATGGCCAGCGGCTGTCATTCAAGCTCCCCCACACCCCAATTACCTCTCAAATCCCGGGCTGGCATTTGCAGGCCCAAAGGGGTCTTTCTCCAAGTCCTGTTTTTCAGAGTCCTAAGTCACTTAATCAAACCTAAGGCCGACCTTTTTTTATTTGCAGGTAATTTAAAGCCAGCTCCTCAAACTCCCATTGGGAAATCAACCCTCCAGAACGCTCGTCCCTTGGAAGAGTCAGCCTCTAGGGCTGTGCATAATAAATGCATGGATCAAAGAAAGCACTATGGTTTCTCCCAAAGCAGATTTTTTTTGCCTTTCCTCGTTGGGGTGGAAGCTATGTCTCTCTCCCCCCCCCCCCCCCCCGGCCCACTACTCAATTCTGCAAAAAAAAAAAAAAATGCCTGGAGAACGAAGGCTGCTCTGGCCTTCACTGGTCTGATCAGGGTTCCCTTTCTGGGTTAGTTTGCAAAATAAAAATTTCAGGAGGGGGTTCATTATGTACAAAAGAGAGTAGGGGGGCGATGAGGCAGGTATTTAGGCTGCAAGGCCACTTTCGTTGTTGATGGGCCACTTTCTGTGTGCACCCCTCCCCCAAGAACATGCCTTAAGCATGTCGTTTTTTTCGAGGAAGCTGTTCCCAAATCATCGAGCATTTCCTGCCAGTGCAACTGTTGGCCATGAATGCTGGTTGGGGCGTCTTTCCCCTGGCTCTGGCCTGCTGGGACGCCCCAAATCAAGGGGGCCTCTGTGGCCCACCTTGTATGATGCCGTTTAGCCTTGTTGGATGTGATACAGAATGGCCTGCTTACTTGGCAAGAGGTAAACAGGAAGGCCAGTAGTCCCTTCCCTTCTCTCCATTCCCTTCCTCCTTCCCTTTTATCTCCTTCCTTTCTTCCCTTTTATCTTCCTTTCCTTCCTTTTTTTCAAAAATAAATTTTATTCAATTTTCAAAATTTAAAAACAAAACTTTTTACATCATTATACCAACATCAGTACATCTTTTACATTTCTTTATCATATATGTATGTATGTATGTATGTATATATGTATGTATGTATGGTATTCAGCTTTGTTCAGGTATTTTCCCACGTCATTATAGTTGTGCTTTTAAAGTTGTAGCAACGTTTCGGCAGAATCTCATCTGCCATCATCAGGCTTCTGTATTGTGTTCATCTGGCATGTAGCTGAAAGCACCACCCTGAGGATGGCGAGTCGGACCTGGCCGAAACGTCGCCAAGATACTCTTAATCTTACACGGGAAAAGACCCGAACACACCTAGACCTACATACCTGTACCCGTGAAAATCTACGAAAACAAATACACACACACACACACACACACACACACACACAAAATACAGAAGCCTGATGATGACAGATGAGATTCTGCCAAAACATTGTTACAACTTTAAAAGCACAACTACAATGACTTGGGAAAATACTGGAACAAAGATGAATACTATCTATCTATCTATCTATCTATCTATCTATCTATCTATCTATCTATCTATCTATCTATCTATCTATCTATCCACATACATACACATACATACATACATACATACATACATACATACATACATATACATACACTTCACATTTCCATTACCATTACACATTTCTTTCATTATGCAATTTTATCTTAATATATAAATAAATATAGATATGAATATAGAGGTATTTACATAGTTTCTTATTTCTTACCTAATTGCCATTTTAATCCCCCCTTCCTTTTATCTCCCTCCACCCTATGCCTGCCCGGAATGGCCAGGGGCTGCCCGGGGCTTTCCCCCCCCCTTCCCAGCTGCTGCCCTGCAGGCGAGAGCTCCGGTTTTACAACTTGCCTTCCCGGTTTTCAGACCACGATCACAACAACTAAAAACAGGCTGCGAATTTGCAACTTGCCTCCTCGGTCTGACACTCCTCCTACTTTACACGAACAAGACGTTGCTCAACCCGGGCGACTTGGAAGGAGAGACCTGGACTTCAGCTCCCCGTGTGTTGCTGGAATTGCCCCCCCTGCCCCCCCCCCCACGCGCAAATGTTGTGGCGTTTGCACAAGACCAGCAGGAGGCAGGATCAAAACGACCCTCCCCTTCCCGCATCCCCCGCATCGATTTAAAAGTACCTGGAAGCATGCTAGGCATATGGATTTTATTCCTGGAGTCCCGGACCCCCCTTTGAAGCTCCAACAGCCTCTCAGCCTCCGGCACACCTTCTTCCCGCGGGGTTCCCTCCGTCCGGGACGCGCCAAGTCCTCCGCTTTCGAAGGGCATTTCCAAGCCACGCGCGTCCCCGCACGCGTGGAAAACCCTCCACCCCGCCCCCAGGCTCCCACGCGTTCCCACGGCCCCAGGGCAAGCAAAGGCTGGCCAGGATGAGCCCGCTCGGCTCCCCCCTCGCGGAGCTCCAGATGTTGGCCGCAGCTGCGCGTCCGGCTCGCCCGGCCTTCCCCGCTTCCTCCTCCTCCTCCTCCTCCGGCCGCCCCACGTGGCAGCTGCGGAGCTTCCACACACACACGAGCGCGCGCGTACACACACCCCTCCGCGCTCCGCCTCCGCGCCCTGTTGGCTCCGCTGGGCAGCAGCTGGAGGACGCGGCGGCGGCGGCCGAGGTAGGGGCGGCGTGGGGCCGGTGCCCGGCGGGCAGGGCGCTCCTGGGCACGTGCAGAGCGCTTTGCCTGGCCCCGGGACGGGGAAGAGGGCATCTCCGGGCTGATTTGGGGAGCGGGCCAGGCCGGGGTGGGGAGGGGGGAAGGTCGGTGCGGAGCCCCCTCCTCTCTCGGCTTCGCTGCCCTTCCGCGTCCTCCGGGCTGCCTTTCTCGAGCTCCTGGGCATGGGCTGAGCGCCAAAGCCGGCCCGTTCCGGCTTCGGGAGGCTGGAGACCAGCTGAGCGAGACCCGGGCAAGCTCTGGCCCCGGCTGGCTTGCCTTGCCGGGTCCCAACGCAGCGGGGCAGGTGCAGCCTCCTGTCAGGTGGGTGGCCCGGCATGACGCCTGCCCCGCGCTCACCTTTCCCGCTGGCTCCGGCCAGCAGCGCCTTTCCCTGCAGGGCTGTTTGGCTTGGCTGGCGGTGCAACGAGGAGCCAGGCTGGAGTTTTTTGTCCCCCCCCCTTGTCCCCCCCCCCGGCCAAGATCCGGTCAGGGATCCACCCACTTCTTATTTTTTTTTATTGTCTTTGAAAAGGCACCCAAACTGCCAGCTGATCCGCGGCGGCAGCAGCAGCTTCCTGCTAAAGAAGAGGGAAAAGTTGGCGAGTCCTCCTTTGCAACAAACCCCGATTTGGTGGCTCGGCTTGGACAAGCAGGTGAGACCAGAGGGGAGGGGGAAAGGAGGGAGGGAGGGAGGCATTTCCTGGGGGTGGCGACTCTTGTCTTTTGCAACCTGTAGAAAAGCAGTGCGAATTGACTGGACAGCCTTGATTCAGAGCTTCGGGTTCCCAGATCTGGGATCTGGTGGATTGGCTGGCTCAGCTGGGAGAATCCGGATTGGTGCAAAATAGTGCAATAAAATATTGGGTGACTGCTGGTAAAATGTCTGTGGAGCTTCCCCAAAATCCAGGTCAGGGGGTTCCCAAACTTGTCAACTTTAAGACTTGTGGACTTCAACTCCCAGAATTCCTCAGCCAGCTACACCGATCCTCTGCAAATGCCAGTTCTTGGGAGCTGAAGTCCACAAATCTTAAAGTTGCCAAGCTTGGAGACTTCTGATCCAGGTCGTGGTTGTCCCAAATGTGCTTTTTCAAAAAGTGGCTGGATTTTCTTGCCTTTTTTTTTGTTTCCTTGAAGAGGCTGTCAGGACTCCAACAAATCCACCCCCATTCAAATCATAAGCCTCTAGCCGCATCTCTCAGAGTTAAAAAAAAAAAAATTATTAGGAATTGACATGTCGGCGTTACCTGGGTGCAGCCGACACTAAAATACACCATTCATTTCCCCCTTGGCCCTGGTCTTCCCCTCACCCCCTGGATGTATATTCTCCAATGGGACACATCCATAGCCAAGAGTCCTCGATCATGCTCTCCAGTAATATTCTTGTGCGCCGACAACTTTAGGCTGTCAGGGCGATTATCTAGGCACTTGAGGAATGCACTGCTTCCCCCCGCCCCCACTCCCTTTCTGCTGGCAACTAAAAAGACCAAAGAAATATTTTTTTAAATTGACAAAGGTTTCATTTCTCACCCAAGAAGATTTTTCAGTTCTTCTAATTTCTGGGAAGAATGGCAGGCGAAGGCGGAGTCCTGTGTAGGGGAGTTTTTCAATGGATTCATTTTTCAGGGCATCCAGCTAGGTGGCAGCACATAGCCAGCCTTGGCTGTGCTTGAAAAAACTCAGAAGACGTAGAAAGGGGACCACGAGGTGATTTACTAAGCAAGTGAAGGTTTGTACGTCAGCATGCAAACTTTTAAAGCTTGGAAGGAGTTTTTGTTGGCAAGACCCTCTAGTTGAACTGGTTCCTGCCTGCCAAGGAAGGGATTTGTGGATAATTTGAACCTCTAGGCAGGTGATAAACAGCTTCTTGGAATTTTTTTCCGGGCCTGTTTTGGAAGAGGTCCTACTTTGCAGGGCTGGTTGGCATATCTGGAAACTTTCCTCTCGGCTATTCGTCCCTCTCTCTGTAAGATGCTGTTAACATCTGTAGCAGCTCTTTGATACATTATCCAGCTGTGCCATTTTGTACACCGTTTTCCCCTTATCTGTGAATCTTTGCAGCTTTGTCTCGTTTTCAGGCTTACTTGAGCAAATAACAGCAAAACTCAGTTTAAAAAAAAAAACCCATACATATTTAAGGGGAAGAAAATACAACCCATTCTTTTCTGGCTGACGGAATCTAACTTCTGACCCAGGTCTTGTGACTTCAGCTTGTAAAGACTTTCACAATCGCATGTAGCTGTGAGTTTCACACACGTTACTCAGATCATACCTATGCCAAATCCTCAGCCAATGAGCGCTTGGGCTTGTGGTTGTGGTTGAAGTCTTGCAAAGAGATCACCTGGCCTTCAGAAAGGCAGCATTCTTGTTTGACCAACGTGGTTTAAGGACAAAACCGTGTGTGCTTTTTTTATATATATAATTAAGGCCGGTCAGTTTCACTGAGCTCAAATGAGACCATTGCTTTCCTCCTCTTGCTCATTTCACCAAGAGAGTGACTTTTTATTAACCTCCTCCTATTTGTAGAAGAGGGAAGTTGTAAAATACACAGCGTGACGTTTTAAGAAAGTCAACAAGGTTTGGTTTTTGGCTTCCAGAGGTGAAAGGAATGTACATGGGTGTAGTTTGGACCTGAATCGGTTGGGCTTTGGCACGTTGGGCGAAGTCACATCTGCAGGTTGAGCACGGCTGAGAAAAAAAGGCAGAGGACAAAAAGTGTGATTTTGCTTGGAGGAACTTTGGTGCGTTGCTGAGGGTTGTGGGTTGCAGTGTGAAGCAACACTGTCCCTGCCTTTCGCCCACAAGGAAATGCTACTACTTTTTATTTTTCTGAAGAATTTCACATCTTCCCAGAATGAAACCATTTCTACGTGACCTCGGGAAGGTGAGGGCCATCAATTCAGCTGCTTGAGGGTATTCTGGCCTTCTCAACTGTGTTTACACAAGCAGGTCTAGTACAGGTAGTCCTCAACTTACAACAGTTCATTTAGTGACAAAATGATACTTCGCTTAGTTTGACGTTGCAACAGCACTGAAAAAAGTGACTTTTTCCCCCCCACCTGACCGTTGCAGCATCCCCATATGGTCACATGATCAAAAATTATTGGACGGCCACAACTGAGCTCAAAACGTATGTTGTTAAGTGAGACATTTGTTAAGTGAGTTTTGTCTCATTTTACAACATTTCTTATCACGGTTGTTAAGCAAATCACTGCGGTTGATAAATTAGTAACCTGTTGTTAAGTGTGATGACCCAAAGGCAACACAGTCAGGTAAGCAAGAAGAGCCCCTTTAATACTTCCAACTTTGCCCCCAGTGTCCAGATTACCTTCGACTAGAGAAAAAACTCTCAAAAACAGCCTTTAAATGGAAGAAATTCAGTCCAAAAACAAAGTACATTCAAACTGTAACTAAAAATCCACACAACCCACAAGCTGCAGCAATTAACTGGACAGGGCAGGATAAGGAATTGCAGACTTCAAAGGCCAACAAAGTACATACACACGTGGGAAGACGCCAGGAACCCAGATAAGCCTCGACAATAAAAAATAATGAATGATTTGCTTCCAACAAGTTGCTGTGTGCAAACTCCCTTTTTAAACACTGTGTTCCCAGCTCCAGCTAATGAAGGGAATCAGGGCCCTTTCCTCCCCCATAAGCCATGCAAGTCACATTGCTCCCTTCTCCGTTCCTCCCTGCATGCCCTAGGGTTCCTTGACATTCCCTGTCAGCTGTCCGGCTTCCTTCTCAGATTCAGATTCCGACAGGGGCATGACACTAAGTGAATCTGGCTTCCCCGTTGACTTTGCTTGTTGCAAAGGGACACTGCGACCGTCATAAATACGAATCAGTTGCCAAGAGTCTGAATGTTGATCATGTGACCACGGGGATGCTGCCATGGTCATAAGCGTGAAACACAGTTATAAGTCATCTTTTTCAATGTCCTAAGTTTGAACGGTCCCTCAATGGACTGTTGTAATTTGAGTACTACATGTATAAATTGAACAGCTAAATGAAACAAACCCATCCTTATTAATAAACATAATTAGGTAAATTTTCAAAACTGAAAGTGATGGGGAGGAATTGCGGTTTATTTGAGTTGTCCTCTGTGTGGGGGGGGGGGGGGGGGGGGGGGGGCGATTCAAATGCGTGGAAGGGACGCATGTGAGGAGACCTGAATCCATTTCAAAGAAAAACTGAGCTGCCTCTTCCTGCTCGATGCCATGAACGCAACTAGATAAGATCTCTCATTTTCAGAATGTCCTCCAATCGGCAACAGCCAAAGGAAATCATGTCACGGATAAGCCTGACGTAAACCAGAAGGCCCTGCGCAGCCCAGAGCACGAAGCTGGGATGCATGTGACCAAAAGCAAGGTTGTGCTATTTTAAAAATAAGTTACACAACTGCCAGACCTCCTGACTGGCTAGAATTGGCTTTTCCGAAGCCCTAAAATTGGAAACCCAGAGATGCATTTGCAATGCGACTGGCCTGGTGCGCTGGCTATTTGCGTCATCCTTAACCATAGACACCCCCCCCCGTGATGTCACCTAATTGAAGCAGCCGGAGCTCTAATTTGGCAAAAGGATGCTACAAGGAGGAAGGGCTCACACATCCTGCTTTTCTTAGCCTTTTCCCCGTGAAATGCTTTTTCCCTGCAACGCAGCCAAGCGGCACTTTCGGGAGAGCAGAAAGCCGACAACACCCACCCACACAGCGGGAACTAAGGAGCCCCTGCCCGGCTGCTTTCGGTGCGGTAGCTTGTTTCGCCTTTTAACTCTGCCCCCCGGGCACCCTGTGTGCTGCCCCCGTTTCTTCAAGCCTGCGCCAAGCTCCTCTTCCCCAGCCAAAGCGGGTAGAAAACCAAGTGTCAGGCTGCAATAATTGTGTGTTGTGTAACCATTGGGTAATTCAGTTACCAGGCCAACATTTCCACCAGTGGCAGGGATGCTAGTCAGACCTTACACACACACATACTCACACATACACACACACACACAAACACAACCTCCTCGCTTGTCCTTTCTGAAACAGTGAGAGCGCTGAAACCTCTCAACCGTGGCTTTCCGGGGCAAAAAGGTCAAAGAAAATCTCTTTAAAGCAGGTTCCTTCACTGGCAGCGACACGGAAAGCTATTATGGTCTGCATCCTCAGGCAGAGAAGGAGGAAAGTGGGGAAGTGCCCAGAAAAAAAAAAAAAAAGGCTTTCAGCCGTAAATTGGAAGGGCAGCAAAGTCCAGCTAGAGTTGTGCCAGTTGCAAAGGTACGTTAACAAACTTAAACTGGGTCTAAATGTTCTTGACGCAGCACTGAGCAATTTGGAAATGTGTCGAACTGCTTTGATTGGCAGTGGGAGAAGTCCTCGGTTGAAGACTGGAACTGAGCCTGGAATTACGGTCATCAATCGAGCCAGTCATGCTGGTCGTTAAATGAATCACCAATGGATCACCCCCAATTTTACACTTTTTTTTTTTTTTTGCAACAGTCGTTAAGTTCTTGGAAAACCAAAGTTCAGTTCAGGGCAGTTCAGTAAAACCTTTAGTCTCTTTAGCGAAGAGCAAAACACTTTAGTCACACCTGCTGTATTGCCTCCTCTTGAGAAGGAACAATCCTATTGTCCATTTTTCATAGCTGGTGACACGGTCATGCCTAAATGGAGCTAGCAAAAGTCCCCGGTAAGCTGGTGAAGAAATATTTAATGCTTGACAGCTTATCCTTGGGCGAGCCTTGTCTTTCTGGAGAAAGCCTATGCTTTGCAGCTCACACCTGCCCAAGGAGCTCAGGTGCCACAGGAATGTGGGAGGGTCTTGTGACAGGTGTCGAAAGGGAAAGAAAGGACTTTGATGGACAAGTGACTCAGCTCCAGTCCAGCGGCTTTCATTCAGAAACTGGCAACCTGGACCCTGTGCTGCGTGATCAGCTAATAAGAAGTTAACCTTGAAAGTGCCGGAGAAGAGGGAATATTAAATAAGTAGGTGTCAACTGGTAGAATTGTAATAATGTGTTTTGAGGGGTGGGGAATGACAGGGTTGCATCAACGATAGCTCCTTTTCTGGCCTATGTGCTAAGCTTCTTGTATGCTGGGAAGTGTTATTTTTAACATCCCAGCGGAATCTGTTCTCTCATCGTTTCTCAAGGCTAAACATGGTGTCTCGCTTCTGTCTCACTTTGCAGTCCCTGATGATTTCTAATTCCCACGTCTTCATTGCTATTTTCTGCGCTTGCTTTGAATGGTTTAAAATGCAGTGCCCAGAGCTGAAAGTTCAGTGAACTTGCAATTTCCAGGAACCTCAATCTAGAAAGCTGCTTGGAATTGAACTTTCTGCACGCAGGAGGGCTAGTTTGGCATACCTCCTTGACTGCATCCAGCAAAGAAGAACCCACCCAAGGAGCTTTGGGGCGTTGGTTCCTCCGGTCTGCTTATGTTTGGGGGTGGGATCTCTGCCTTCCCACGTGATCCGAGGCCAGGGTGGGCAGCCCCTTTACGGACTTCAACTCCCAGAATTCCTGAGCCAGCCACGCATTTGCTGGACGCAGTGAAGAAGATGGGAACAATGGATGGAAACTAAAGAAGGAGAAGAGCTACCTGGAACTAAGGAGAAACGTTCTAACCGGAAGGACGACCAGTGGAACAACTCGCCACCAGAAGTTGTGGTTTTTTTTTAATCAGTGGAGGTTTTTAAGAAATTGGTCTGAAAGGATCCAGGTCTCCTGCTTGAACGGGGTTGGACTAGAAGACCTCCAAGGTTCCTTCCAGCTCAATTCTGATTGATTGAGATGCTCCAGAAGTCCTCTGCTTGCAGAATTCCGGGACTTGAAATCCACAGGTCGTAAAGAGGCCATAGTTGCCCACCCTTGGCCTAAGTCCTACCTTCTGAACGAAGAAAAAAAAAACAGGCTTCCACGCTGGAAGCAACCCAAAATTCAGATCTGTCCAAGACAGGATGAATAAGAGCTGGGTTAGCTTTCATCAGGCCCGGATGAAATGAAGTTAGAGCCCGACTGGCTGGCTGTTCATTTCCTGCCTCATTGCAAGAAATTATTTTTACTGGCTTAGGAAGCTGGTGGAGCAACAGAAAGGGAGAACTGGTAGTTGTTCCCTTCGCTTTCTTCCTCCCACCACTGCTATTTGGTTGATTTCCCAAAGGAAGCCCAAAAGTGATGAAGGCAAAGAACTGACAGCAAAACATCATCACACACTACATTGGGGTGTGATTGAGCCAGATTTGTTTCATTCGGGGGGCGGTGGGGGACGAACGAGCAGCGGAGAGAGCATTTGCTAGCTTGCAAATTATCCCAGATTTCTAGGCGTTGCTGTCAAACGTCCAGGAATGGGGGGTGGGTGGGAGTTGAATATCAAGGGGCTCCCCAAAAGAAGGAGCGAGGCAATGGTCAGCCGGCTTTGTAGGTTTGCATTTAACCAGGATTTCTGATCAAGAATGGAGATGACACCCTTGGAAAGGAAGAAACCCACAGCCTGCAGCTCCCCAAATGCACAGCACGATGGGAGGCCCCTTGTCTGTTCCTAGAATATGCTGGGGTGAAGGGCTCGGCAGACCCCGCCCTCTCCCCAGTGCTGGAAGGTCCTTGCACCGCGAAGGGGTGGCAGCTGTCGGCGCCGACAGCCTCCTGCGGGGGTGGCCATCTCAAGCTGTGCTGGGGACCACGCGTGGCCTGTCCACCTGGCTCCGCTCAAACAGACGCTGCTCGTTTTCAGGCGCTAGAGTGGGGGCGGGGAGGCTGTGGCTGTGCCTCAGTTGAGCCTGCCAGCTCTGCCTAAAGCGACGTGGAGGGTTTCCAAAGGGGCTGCTGCCAGCTGCCCTCATCCCACGCAGACCTTTTGAACCCGACAATCTCCGTATCAGATCCAGAGGCGAGCGCTGGGTCTCAAGGCAGAGCCGAGATGTCCTGTGCTTTGAGGAATGCACGCTGGGACGGAGGAGTGGGAGCATATTTGGGCTCTGTTGGGAATAAGATTGCAGAGGAACCGAGTTGGAAGGGACCTTGTTGGAAGAGGTCTTGTAGTCCAACTCTCCTGCCCAAACAGGAGAGCCTGATTGATAGCAGAGGTCCCCAAACTTGGCCACTTTAAGACTTGTGGACATCTGGCCGGAGGATTCTGGGAGTTGAAGTCCACAAGGCTTAAAGTTGCCAAGTTTGGGGATCTCTGCCCTATAGCATTGCGGACAAATGGCAGCCCAGTCTCTTCAAAACCTCCAGTGATTGAGCACCCATATTTTCTTAGGCAAGCTGCTCCATTGATTTGTTCTTCTTCCTGTCAAGAAATTTCTCCTCCATTCTAGGTTAGATCTCTCTTTGTTAGCCTTCCATTACTTCCGGTCCTTCCCTCAAGTGCTTTGGGGCAGGGGTCGCCAACCTTTTGGACCTCAGGGACCACCAAACTCATAATTTTAAATCCCATGGAGCAGAGACCCTGGGAAAATCCTCCCAAAAAAGTCTGCAGGATAGTTCCCCACCCCATTTTCCTACTGATCGATCATGATCAATCATTCTTTATTTGGGATCGCAGGAGACCGTCTCCAGCTCCGTTCTCAGGGGGAGAGAGAGAGAGAGACTTTTGGCTTCATGCAAGGAAAGCAGCAGAAGCCGCAGAAGTCTTTCTTTCTCTCCCCCAAACTCCGCCAGAAATTAGTCTTTGCCGGCGCAGCCTCTTGGGGCAGGAGGCCTTGCAGGGTCCCAAAGACTCATTTCTGGCAGAGTTTGGGGGAGAGAAAGAAAGACTTCTGCTGCTTCTGCTGTTTTCCTTGCATGATGCACTTTAGCCTCCAGTCCCCTAATCATCTTTCTTGCTCTTCTTTGCACTCTGTGTACGTGTGTGTGCGTGCAAATAGTATTCAGTCACATCTCACAAGAGCTCCTACTCAACTTTAAGCTTCATAGCCACTGAGTAGACCTGCACAGGACGTTAGCCTTGCAGGGGAATATGGTTTTTGTGATCTTTGGGAATGCAAACCCATCGCCTGCCTGTGATGCAGAGAGGTGGTTTGCTATCCCGGGTCGCAACAAGCCAAGATAGATGCTCATTCGACGTGTTGCCTAGAATTTCCCAGGGGAGCATTCACCGCACAACTTTGACGCAGAGACTCGCTTTGTGTGTGCCAGGAGCTCCCGCCGGGCTTACAGTTTGGGGGGAAGGTGGGGGCCCTGAGATTAAACCCTTTTGTTTTGTCTGGTTAATCTTGCAACAAGGTCTTTCCGCTGCGGTCCATCCAAGGTCAGCCGTTGAGAGTCGCCTGTGGTGGGTGCCTTCCACTTCTGCCCCAGTTTGGCATTTTACACGGAAGAAGGAACCACTCTGCTAAATCCTGATAAGATTTTCCTTCTGCCTCGGCTGTGCTGATTCTCGCTCTCTCTCTCTCTCTCAAATGTCACTGAGTGTGAGTCACTGGGAGATTTCTGCTCCCCCTTCTCTGACGTGGTTTCAAGCAGGTTAACTGGGAGAAGAGCAGAGGGACGTGTTTGTTTTTGGATCATCCTCTACACTTCGTTTCTCGGGTGTGAAGTTGGGACTTGCTCACTCTCTCTCCAGCTGTCCTCCTTTCCTGCCTGCTTTCTATCCAGAGGTGCCCAAGCCAGCTGGCCGGCTCCGGATCTCCCCCCACCCCCCCCGGGGCTTGTGGGTAAGTCCATCTCCTGCACTCCTCACCCTGTGGTCTGCTCCATTCTCACAGGCCACCAGGGGTGCGGAGGTTGGAGCTGCCGACCATACCTGGATCTCAGGTGGAGATATCTCCTCCCTTACCAGCCAGGAAGAGGGCCTTGGTGTAGCTGCTCAAGCACTTCTCAGAATTGTGGTGGGTTTTTGTTGTGGGTCAGTAAATCTCTTTAAGGATCTCCTTGGGACCACAGTCCTGGGTCGTGAGGTCTCTCAAGAAAACTCCGTTGTGTGAACTGACTTCGTGTTTACTCCATCACGGGACGTTCCCTGGCACGGCTGGCTGGCTCTCAGCCTGTCCCGGAGGTCTGGGGATGGGGGCTCAGGGCTGCGGTTCAGTGTATCTCTGGGTCTCCCTTGGAATGGGAGGCTGGCGACGCCCCCCGTGCACCACCACGCAGCAAATGGAAACCGTGCTGAATTGTTCAGCCGCTTGTGTAGGAATGCTCTCCCCCCCCCCCCCCCCGCGCTTCTCTGGGCCGGGATGAGTTTTTCTCCTGCTCGCATCCGTAGCTCTCCTCGATACGAAGGGTAGCCCAGGAGCAGGTAATGTTGCGTCCCTCGACCTTGGAGGGCAGCCTTGCAGGGCAAGGAGGAAACGGGGTGGAATTGGTGGAGGGGCTGAGACTTTGCTCTGTCTCAAGGCTGTGTTGGGGGTGGGTGGGCGTGGGGGGGGGTTTGCGATGGACCATGGATTAAACGGAAGAGGCGTAACTTTTCTTCACTGTTCCTGCCATCGTCTGTCGGTCGGATTCTTCATGGGCTTGAAATCCGGCTTTTGTCAGCTGAAGAAATAAAACAGGGCACGTCTCGTAGGTGGATTGGGGCTTCAAGAGATGAAAAAGCGAGGATGCCTCCATGAAGATGAAGGATTTTTGTAAACTTTGGACTGAAGCCATATCTGTTTGTTTTTAATTGTATCCTTCCTTCCTTCCTTCCTTCCTTTCTTCCTTCCTTCCCCTTCCCTTCCCTTCCCTTCCCTTCTTCCTTCCTCCCTTCCCTCCTCCCTTCCCTTCCTTCCTTCTTTCCTTCCTTCCCTCCTCCTATCCTTCCCTCCCTCCCTTTTCTTTCCTTTCTTCCTTCCTTTGTTCCTTCCCTCCCCTTCTTCCTCCCCTACTTTCCTTCCTTCCATTCCCTTCTTCCTCCCCTTCTTCCCTTCTTCCTTCCTTCTTCCCTCCCTTCTTCCCTTCCCTTCCCTTCCCTTCTCCCTCCCTTCCTTCCCTCCCTTCTTTTCTACTTGCCTTCCTGCCTGCTTGTCTTTCTCTTATCTTTCCTCCTTCCCTCCATTTTTTATTTATCATCCTTAATTTCTTGCAAATGCTTCTTCCGTTGCACCTTGGGGGCAATTCTGTCAGGTTTAATGAGAGGGGAGGTTGACTTTGGCAGCATTTGAGACTCCCCACTTTTCTGTAACTTAAACGCCACAATTGCACCTTCGAACCCCCCCCCCCAGTCTGAACTGAATGCCATTTCCAGATTCCCCCATCCATGGGGCACGGATTGTGCTCATGTGTGCGTGCGTGTGTGATTTGCAAAGAGGACTCTCGGGCAGAGCTGCAGTCGTGAGATGCTTAGTTTCGCCTGCCTGCCAAAGCGGCTGAATTCTTTCATGCAGCTTTGCAGGCTGATGGGGGGGGGCGTGGGGGGGTGCCTGGGACGGCTCATCCGCCTTCCTGTCAGGAGCAAAGAGCAGGTCGATTCAGCAGGAGCAGATGGTACTACATCATCTTTGCGTTCCTTGAAAGGGGATAATTATTTGCGGTGAGAGGGCCCGGTGCAAAAGAAGGAGGAATCGTGAGGCTGCTCAGCCGGGGAAAGGGCAGAGCCCAGCTGGGGAAATAATTTAGGTTTTCAGCTTGAGATGTGGCCCCGTTCAGCTCCCCAAAGCACCAAGCAGAGCGGGAGGCTGGATGTGGGCGCCGGTGCCAGCGAGAGACCGGGGAGGAGGGTGGAGAAGGGAGGAAGAGCTGTCAGTGGCAAATCCACGGAGTAGAAATGGGCTCTTATCCCCTGTTTACAAGACAAGTCTTTTCAGCGGTGCCAAGAAGGTCGCACACCCGTTTGCACCCTGATTCAGGTGACCTTGAGGGCACAGATAAGCCTCCAAGAGGCCTCAACGGCTCTTAGGAAGAATGCAAATGACCAGCTGCCTGCAAGGAGTGTAAATCCTTGAATACAAATATGCAAGAATACAAACCCTTCCCTCTTCCCCCATTCAGTCAGAACCGAAGAAGCTTCTTGGATGAGAAGTGAAATGTCTTCAAAGAAAAAGCAGAAAGTCCAGTTGCCTTTTGGAAAGCACCTTTGGGACAACCATGATCTGGAGGACTGAGAATCTCCATGGACAAATGGAAGTTCACCTACAAAGGAGAGGATGGAATTGTTTGGGGCCCTGAAGCATTCCAGTTCCATGTTGTGCTTTCTGGGTGGAGTCTGTCATGCCCTTGTTAGAGTCGGACTCTGAGGGAGAGGAGGAACAACCAACAGGGAGTGGAGGTTGTGGAGGAGGCTGGAGAAGGGCAGAGGCCAGCTGGGCAGTCAGAGGAAGGCCCATCCCCTCTTCATCCTAGAACATGCAGGGAGGAATGGAGAAGGAAACAACTTGGCTTACGAGAGAGGAAGTGGCCATGATCCCCTTCATTGGTTGCAGCTGGGGAGAATAGTATATAAGAGAGACAGTTAAAACACAGCATTGCCAGAAGCAAAGCGTGTTTTATTTTGGGTTGAAGTTATCTTGGTTGGCGTCCTTCCATCAGACTGTGCCTTGTTATCTCCTTGAAGTTGGTAATTACTTATCCTGGTCCGTTGTGGAATTTCCTTCATTGTAGTTTGTTTTAGTTTTTTTATTTCACCTCTCTCTGCTCATTAAGTTTGGACTGTATTGCTTTCTTTTGAAGACTGTTTTTGACTTAAGTTTTATCTCCAGCTGAGAATTATTTGAACAGTGGGGCCAAGTTTGAGGCATTTATTTACGTTTTGGATTTTGTTACGTTTGTGTTACCCTCCGGGTCATCACAGAGTCACATCACACACAAAAGCCTAAAATGGCTCTGGGAAGTTGGTGTTGTGGGAAAACCAGCCACTATATTCGGGATGGACTTTGGGCAGCAGAACCACAAAAAACAGACCTTCTCGGTGGTGGCCCATCTCCGTTCCTGGTATGGTTGACTCCCCACTCTGTCGCTTTTCCTAAAAATGTGTTTTTGTTGGGTGGGGGGGTACAGGGACCCCAAGCAGAGATGGGACCCACCAAGTGACTGTACTCATTTATGCTTTCTTGTTCGACCTTGTCGGCACATAAAAATAGATTTTTGATAGTGCTGTTCCAGCCCCTGTCTTGACTTTCTTTTCGACACCCTGGCTCTTTTGGAAAACCTTCCCTTGCAGATATCAGCCTGCCAAGACTCAGCCAGCTGGCTGTGGGCAGAGTTGCCTGTTGCCTCCCTATTTACCCATGCCAGTCGGTTGGCACTGCCTGAATTGCGTGACGTTCTGCTGTTCTTTGTCGGGCAGAGGGCACAGATGGGCCTGCGGGTTTTAACGCCGTAATCAGGCAAATTGCACCTCTCGCTGACGCGTGATAACGGCCTGTTTTTAAAAGTGCCATTGTGAGGAAGGAGGTGGGCCCAGCAGCCTTTTAAATGCCGGTTGTGAAGTGGCTTAGATTGCAGCTGTCGGCTTCAGAGAGAAACCCCCGGCCCCTTTCTAGCTTGGCTTCTTTCAAGCAGGATACTGAAGTGGACGCAGAGTCTGTTTACAGGAACAAAAATGTAGGGCTGTCCCAGAGATCAGGGGCAGAAGGTGACCGGCTGAAGCGATGAAAGGGAGCAAAGAAAGGGGAAACGAGAAACCCAGGCCTGAAACGATCAATTGCACCTCAACCGAATGAAGAAATATTGATCCGCGAGATTGACCAAAGTGGAGAATCCCACTCCAAAAAAGCTTTTAAGAGTCCTACTCTTTAGAAATTTAAAATGGCCTTTCTTTTCAAACAATTTTTTTTTTATAATAAATTTTATTGAATAAACATTAAAAACCATTGAACACAGTGCAACTTTCTTGGCCATACAAGCTATACTATGGAGATACACATAACCGTTAATTTCCTTTTTCCCTTATGTTATTAGTGTAGTGCTAGCTGCATATTGTTTGTGTTTACATTTCTATAGATAAATTTAAAATGGCCTTTCCATGGCAGCTTTTGATGGGGCTCTGGGGAAGTGGCCAAGCTTTGAGAGAGGAGAGGAGTGTAGGCAGCTACGTGGCCTCAAAGTGTGCACTGTATTTTGTTGTTGTTGCTGTTCAGGTGCTAAATTGTGTCGGACTCTGTGCGACCCCATGGACCACAGCATGCCAGACTCCCCTGTCTTCCATTATCCCCCGAGTTAGTCCAAATCCATGTCCACTGAGTTGATGGTACTAGCACTAGCAATAGCCCTTAGACTTATACGCCACTTCAAAGTGCTTTACAGCCCTCTTAAGCCAGGGGTTGCCAACCTTTTGGACCTCAGGGACCACCAAACTCATACTTTTAAATCCCGTGGACCAGAGACCCTGGGAAAATCCCCCCAAAAGTCTGCAGGAAAATTCCCCATCCCGTTTTCCTACCAATCTATCGTTCTTTATTTTGGGATTGCAGGATACCATCTCCAGCTCCGTTCTCAGGGGGAGACAGAGAAAAAGAGACTTTTGGCTTCATGCAAGGAAAGCAGCAGAAGCCGCAGGAGTCTTTCTTTCTCTCCCCCAAACTCCGCCAAAAATGAGTCTTTGCCGGCAACAGCCGCTTGGAGCAGGAGGCCTTGCAGGGTCCCAAAGACTCATTTCTGTGTGACCATTTCTTTTGTGACCTTCTGACAAGCAAAGTCATTGGGGAAGCCTGATGTCACTTAACGATTATGTTGCTGACTTAACGATTCACTTAACAGCTGTGGAAGGTCGTACAATGGGGCCAAACTCACTGAACTGTCTCACTTAGCGGGAGAAGTTTTGGGCTCAATGGTGGTTGCAAGTCAAGGACCACCCATAAATAATCCATTGGGCTTCCATGATTAACCACAATTGTCAGGATTCTGGCAGTTACCCCAATTAAATCATGAGTCTTGAGCCAAACTTCCAAACTATTTATGGAATGCAGTTTCAGTTTCCAAGCTGCCGTGCTGCTCTTTCAAACCCCTTCCCTCCCTCCCTTTCTGTTGGCAACTCTAAAAAGACCATAGAAATATTTTATGAGTTGACATCTTCTTTTCTTTCCCCCAGGAATCTTCTAGCATCCTGGCCAGAGAGGAGTTCTGATCTAGAACATGGCTTGTTCCTGGTGGCCTCCAGCCTTCCCCCAAAAGAGAATTTGAGTCCTCGATTCCGGCACCTTCACATGAACCATGGAGGTGATGGACGTCCCGGTGGGAAACCTCATTGACTTCGACTCTGAACTGTCTACCACGGACACCTCTGAATCGGTCCCCACCGGCCCCTCGACCGCCAACGGCCACGCAGGGCTGGATCGCCGCGAGGCGGGCCCTGCGGCCGAGGAGAGCGATGCCACCGAGTCAGCCGACAGCGAGAACGACACGACCGACTCGCCCACCCACCCGAGCTGGAATAACCACCGGCGCTCTTCCTCGGAGTCCTACTCGTCCAACCAGAGCACGGAGTCCACTCGGGGGGAAGCGCTGGCCGAACAGCGGGAATTTGTGCGCCAATACGTGGAGAAGATCTTCACCGGTGGGTGAGTGTTGCAGGAGCCCCCGTGGGACCCTGGAAGTGGGGAGGAACACCCTGGCAGCCTAAAGTTGTCAGCACGCAAGAATATTAGTGGAGAGCATGATTGATGACTCTTGGCTATGGAGGTGTCCCATTGGAGAATATACAGTACGTCCAGAGGGTGAGGGGAAGACCAGGGTCAAAGGGGAAATGAATGATGTGTCTCAGAGTCGGCTGCACCCATCTAATGCTGACATGGTCACTCCTAATAAATCAAGTTTTTTTTTTTTACTCTGAGAGATTTTACATATTTTTACATTTTATTTGATTTGTCAATCGCTTACAAGATAATAGGTATAAGTATAAACATAGTTATGATTACATGGATACATATAAGAAAAATAAAAGAAACAATAGGACAGGGACGGTAGGCACGTTGGTGCGCTTATGCACGCCCCCTACAGACCTCTTAGGAAAGGGGTGAGGTCAATAGTGGACAGCTTAAGGTTAAAGTTTTGGGGGTTTGAGGATGTAACATCAAAGTCAGGTAGGGCGTTCCAGGCATTGACTCCTCTGTTGCTGAAGTCGTATTTCCTGAAATCAAGTTTGGTGTGGTTGAGTTTGTATCTATTGTTTGCTCTTCTGTTGTTATGGCTGAAGCTGAAGTATTCACTGACAGGTAGGATGCGGCTAGAGACTTATGATTTGAATGGGGGGGTGGATTTGTTGGAGCTCTGACATTGGGAGACCTGGCAGGGCAGACCTGATAGCTCCTGCCAGCCATCTTTGGCTCAGACATCAAATAAAATCCCAATTGGATCTCAGCAAAGCTTGCGGCATTCTGAGTCAACCCGCTCTGAGTTAATGTGATGGAAACTGAGCAGTGATGGAGGGAAAGGGGGGGGGGGCTGGCTTGGCTTCCTCGCTTGCTTGGAGCTCGATTGGGGTTCTGGAGCTATCCAGAATATTCCCTGTGCAACTTGCACTTGGGTGGCACCAAAAGGGGTGGCCCTCCCTCTGCAGAAGCAGGGAAAGACCCCGTGCTTTGGAGCAAAGCTTTTAATGTGAAATGTTAAAGAATGGATTGAATAAGAAAGGCAGTAGCCCAAGGCAATATTTCTCCACTGTACACCTTAACATCCTGTTTCCACGGATAAGTCCTTTAATTCCTCATTTTATTTCAGGCAACTTAACCGAAAGATCTGCAGTTTTAGCCAATTATTTTGGAAGCCCAAGGAGTTCCTGCAAGCCCCTTGGAACAGGGCTATGCCTGGACTTCGATTAGACTTTTTGAGCCAACTAGATCCTTCTGAACAGAAACAAACAAGGGGTTTTTCTGTTCACCTTCTGTGCATACAAATTCATCCATTGACCTCTTTCCCATGGTGGAAAGACCGAGATTGACAGGTGCCAAGGTCCAGAGGCTTAATTCCTTGGCAGGAGAGGAACACCTTCGAAGTAGTCTCTGTATAGCGTGAATAGCTCCTGCATCCTTTATTATTAAAATACATCCACGTCATGGCAAGTTCAAAGCCCCAGAGATGCTAACATTTCTGTAATAATGGCAACAATCCTATGGAGCGGCTTCCTGCTGGAACAGTGTTTTTTCAACCATGACAACTTGAGTGAATGATTGAATGAATTCTTTTATTGGCCAAGTGTGATTAGACACACAAGGAATTGGTCTTGGCGCATATGCTCTCAATGTACATAAAAAGAAAAGATACTGTCATGTCCCTGGTGGAGAATGAGGGGGAGGAACAGGGAGTGGAAGTGTGGCTCCCGAGGTTGTGGAGGAGGCTGGGGAAGGGCTGAGGCCAGCTGGGCAGAGGAGGACCCAGGCCCATCCCCTCTGCATCCTAGGGCACGCAGGGAGGAGAGGATAAAGGAAAGATGTGGTCTACTGGGGAGGAGAGGGCCTTGATCCACTTCATGGGCTGCAGCTGTGACAACTGAATAAGAGACCGGACATGCATACAGGCGAGCACTGGAAACAAAGCGTGGAAATATTTCTAGTTTATGGTTCCTCTCTGAGTTTGGCGTCCTTCCCACTGTGTGTCTGTGGACGTCCTCCAGCCCTTATCTTGCCTGGTTTGTACTGCTTTTTTCCTCCTTCTTGTAACTGTTTGTGTGGGAGTTTTTTTGTCTTCAGTCAAGGATATTCGGAGCTTGGGAGGAAAGTGAAGGAATAAAAGGGGCTTCACCTGTTTTCTGTGACTGTGTTCGTTTTGTATCCCACCCTAGGTCATCACATATACATTGGTCAAAAATCATAAGGTACAACACCTAATGATAGTCATAGGGTAAAAATAAGAGGGGTGGACTTCAACTCTCTGAATTCTCTCCTCTGGCTGGGAAATTCTGGGAGTTGAAGTCTACCCCTCTTAAAGTTGTCATGGTTGAGAAGTACTGCTTTGGAAGCTCTTTTATCCACTGGTTTTATTCCAGAATAGAGAGTTGTTCTGGAGCAGGGGTCTCCAACCTTGGCAAAGCTGCCTGAGGAATTCTGGGAGTTGAAGTCCATAAGACTTAAAGTTGCCAAGGTTGGAGACCCCTGTTCTGGAGGAAACTTAATGCTCCTATGCATGCTTACTGTTTCCTCCATTGTCACCGAGTTCACTTATTTGTATATGCTACCTTACTATTTCTACGGATGTTTTAATTTCCTGGATTTATTGCACGCCCCTGTAATATGCAGGGAGTCCTTGGAACTAAATCACCTTATAAGTGTAATAAAATTCGCCGGACAAGAGCTCTCTTTTTGAAGCTGGGTTGTTTTTTTACAAACTCCTGGAACTGAGGTTGAGGATAAATTACCGCAGTCAACTTCCTATCCTTTTTGATGCCTTTGGGAAACCTGTTTATTTACCCTGGCAGATGCCACGATCCGCAGTTACACAATTTTCTCTTTGTTTTGAGTGAATAGAAAAGGGCAGGTCCTGTGGTTTCTGAGGACAGGGATTTACCTGGTGATAACTTGCAGGCATCCATATGTTTTCAACCAGGGGTCGCCAACCTTTTGGACCTCAGGGACCACCAAACTCACAATTTTAAATCCTCACTACCCCTCACTACCTCAGGTTGTTCGCAATACAAGCGACGCAAGCCTTGTGTTCCTGCGCAGCCTGGATTAATTGCTTTGGGGGGTGACATTTCTCTGCGGACCACCCAAATTTTCTCACAGACCACCAGTGGTCCCTGGCCCACCAGTTGGCGACCACTGTTTTAAAGGAGGAATGAAATTTTGTGGGCCACCTGCTGCCTTTAAAGCTTGGGGTATAACTGTCCTGGGAGAGGGTCTTTTGCAGAGAAGCCTTCATTGTTGGTCTGTAGGAATCTCAGTTCCTTCTGCTTCAAGAGACCCAGTCCATAGAGGTGGCCACAATGAGAAGGGGAGGGTGTCAACCTTTTTTCCGAAGTACCTGAAGGCAGGACAAGCAGCAATGTAGGCAGGCAGGCAGGCAGGCAGGTAAGAGGGGCCCGGTCTGCAGTCTGGAAGCAGATATTTCTATTTATAGGCGTGCAAAGGTGTGATGGGTGCTGGTGTGTGATTTCAGAGAGGAGTTTGACCAAGAGGAGCAAGCCAGATTCGGGGAGCTGTGCAGTGGCGAGAACACGAAAGGCAGAGAGTGGTTCGCCAGATACGTCAGCGCCCAGGTAAGGAAGCATTTAGGATGAAACCGCTTTGCTAAATCTGGCATGCCGTGGATCTCAGGGAACGCGCCCGGCTTAGCATTGGCAATGCAGTGCAATTCCAGCCTGCTTCAGAACAACTTCTAGGATTTGTTAAGAGTCCCTGTGAACCTACATGGAAAAGCACAGTCTACCATCTTGCTATTCCTAACTTTGTCCGTTGTCGGTTCCTTCACAGCGCTGCAATTCCAAGTGTGTTTCTGAGCAGACTTTCTATCGCCTGGTGCAGTCCTTTGCTGTTGTGCTGTTTGAGTGAGTAAGCCCAGTCATCTTTTGTGTGTGTGTGTGTGTGTGTGTGTGTGTGTGTGTGTTTCAACAAGACTTAATTCAGTGGACTTTCTGCACAGCCAGATCCACCAAATATTTTGGCTAGATTTCCTTAAATCCCTGATCTTCCAAGCATTCCGTCTGTCTCTGTCTCTTTCTTTCTCTCTGTCTCTCTCTCTTTTTCTGTCTCTCTCTTTGTGTCTCTGTATCTCTGTCTCTTTCTCTCTGTCTCTGTCTCTCTCTGTCCCTCTCTCTCTTTGTGTGTGTCTCTCTGTCTCTTTTTCTTTGTCTCTTTCTCTTTCTCTGTCTCTCTGTGTCTCTATCTCTGTCTCTTTCTCTGCCTCTCTGTCTCTGTCTTTCGCTCTGTCTCTCTCTGTCTCTTTCTCTCTGTCTCTCTCTTTCTCTCTCTCTCTTTGTATCTCTCTATCTCTGTCTCTTTCTGTCTCTGTCTCTGTCTGTCTCTGTCTCTCTCTTACATACACACTCACACTTCCATTCTGGCCCTGTAATTCATTCCTTGGAAGGACCCTGGGCCAAAGCACAGAATCATAGAATTACGGGGTTTGGAAGATCAGAGACCCTCAAACTAGCGTTTCTCAAACTTGAAGATGGGTGGACTTCAACTCCCGGGATTCCCCAGCCAGCTTGAGAAACGCTGCTCTCTAATCCAACCCTCTGCAAAGTGCTGGAAAACCAATTTTTTGAGCCACGCTCCCTGGAATAAGGTCCCTCCCTCTACACTTTTCACCCACTTTCCTCTTTGGCTTTGTAGATGCTACCAGATGGATGACTTCAGCCCTGCCAAAAACCTGATGACCATGTGCTTTACTTACTACTACATCGGTAAGTGTAGCAAAAGTCAAAGCCAGAGGAGTGGTTTGTCTCCAGCAGGAGCCATGGGCCTTCCAAGAAGTATTTTTTTTTAAATTAAAAAAAAAAGGAATCCTGCCTATTTATAGGCTGCCATGTGGACTAGTAACCTGGCTTGTTTTAAAAAGAAAAGAAGTGGCTCTCTTTCTACGAGACTGGAGACGGGTCGCTCCCTATTCTGACTGGGGAATTCTGGGAGTTGAAGTCCACGTGTCTGAAAGTTGCCAAGTTTGAGAAAGACCGGGTTAAAACTGTTTCTTTTCCCGCTTGATCTTTGTCTAGGGAAGCCCCAAACTCTCCCCCCAGAGTGCAAGGAGAAAGCCGCGGGAAGCATTGATTCCTACCTGAAATCCGCCAACAGCTGGCTGGCCGAGAAGAAGGACATTGCGGAACGGCTGCTGAAAAACACCTCGGCCAAGACGGAGAACATGAAAGGGTTTTTCGGGAGCTTTGAAAGCAAACTGAGGGGTCCCAGCGGGACCAGGAAGAGCGAGTGAGTCCCCGTGCGAAGATTTAGGGCGGACTCCAAAGGATGCGTCTGCTTTGTCCCCTGTAAATTCTCAAGGAATTGGAGTGTCCCCTGAGATTCCCAAAGGCAGGAATAAAATCAGAGGGTGGAACTGGCAGGAAAGCGGATTTTTTCTGAGGGTCAGGGAGAGCGTCATGACTGTCAGGTTTCCAAGTGATGAAATCCATTTAAAGAGAAAAGGGCAAGGTCTGTCTTCTAAACAGTCTGTTTTATTTAGGAAAGTATCAAATTGGAAAAGTCTGCTGTAATTCTGGATCTGTCATAACCCGGAATTATACCACATTAATATTGGAAATTAGAAACCGCCTCCCAAAAGTCACATTCCCCAATAGACGTAAATCAACGTTTGCCTGGTGTCATTAATTTCCACCTCCAGGTCTCAGCAGGGTCGGCTTTTGTTCCCACGGGAAGGAGAACCACTTAGCCTCAACAACTCTCTCTATCGCCACGCCTCCCGCCTTAGGAATGTGGTAAACCTGAAACCCTTCCCCCCACCCCCGTAACCAGCAAAGAGAAAGAAGGAAAAGGAATCTATAATAAGGCTAAATAAAATGGCTATGCAGGTGTCAGTTTCGGACTCGACAATAACATTGGACGCAGTTGGGTTGTGGAATCGACTCTGTAGAAGCAGCCGATCGTGGTCCCTGCATGGATTGGAGCCAAGGATGGGCTGCCCTTGAGCCTTCCGCGGCAGAGGGGGGCTTGGCTCCTCTGCTCCGCTGGGCTGAATCCCACCTCTGTGCTCTTCTTCTAGGGATGGCGAAGAGAAGCCCAGGGAGAGAATGCAGAAATCAGGTAAGCAGATCCAGCCCAGGTAGTTGGTGGTCCTTGGTGGAAGCTCCGGATCTCTCCAGCAAGACAAAGAAGGCGGAAGGGGGGTCTGCCCACTCTAAGGCCCCGTGCTCTGAATGTCCCTCTCTGTGCAGTTTCCCTCTACAGTCCCGAGGAGGAGGAAGAAAGAAACGGGGAGAAGATCTACCTGTACATGCACCTCAAGCAACAGCCCATCTGGTAAGGACAGAGAAGGTGGCGGTTCTGACCCAGCTGAAGTTAAATCAATGATTCCTTTATTAGGAATGCTGGCAGCTCCGGCAAAAGGTTTCTCTCTCACTGCAGGCTAATTTAAGTCCGCCTGGCACATCTGTTCATCTCCGCCCCCTGCCTTTTATCCCCAGAGTTAAGGTGGGGCCTCACTAGCAGCAGTGGCTCTTCCATCTCAAGGCCCAGCCCATAGAATTCCACTGCTCTCCTCTCCTCTGCCTTCTGGGCATCCATGCATCAGGCACTGGACCCGGCTGTTCCTCTTCCTCTTCCTCATCAGCCACCTCCAGACCTGGGGGCTGTTGACTCTCCATCTGAGGGCTGACGGATGGCCGAGGCTCCATCTCTCTCTCTCTCTCTCCCTCCCTCCCTCCCTCCCTCTTCCCCCTTGGAGCTCTCAGGTTGCCTTGATCCTGACCCTGACTCCCATGCTGCTGCCTCATCTGGAGGGGCCATAACCCGATAGGCCACAACAATGGCCGCCTCAATCTTCACAGCCTCCACAGAAAGTCAGCTGTGGCCTTCAGAGCAGCTCAGCACAGGGTCCTTCCAACCACCCAGAACCCGGCTGTTGTTGGCACCGGCCTCCAGGCTCCATCTTTCATTTATTTATTAAATGGATATGCCACCCATCTCACTATCCCAAGCAACTCTCAGTGTCTTCATCCCGGTTTTGTAGGCACACTCTGAGGTTCTGGAACGCGGCTTTCTTTGATGCCGTCCACTGCGAGAGGCGGAAACGGTCTCCCACCACCAGGTAACGTCTCTTGGGGCCTCCTCTGGCTTTGGAGGAGGGTGAGGGGAGGAAAGGTTGGCCGGAGAGAAGGTTTCCCATCTCTCTGTGGCCTTCACACTCCCTGGTCAGGATGGCTCCTTCTGTTCGTTTGTGGCCGAGCTGCTCTCAGATGTTCCTCTTTGGATTAGGAAGGGGAGATTGGTGGGAAGGACCTTCACCCTTGTACTGTCTTGTGGGTGGGTTGAAAAAACTAATTCTCTCTCTCTCTCTTTCTCTCTCTCCCTTTCTCTCTCTCAATGCCTGTAATCCTGTTCTTTTTTTTCTTCGTTCATTTCCTCCATCCTTTCCTTCCTTCCTTCCTTCCTTCCTTCCTTCCTTCCTTCCTTCCATCCTTCTTGCATGTACATGTGACTTCTCTTGGCCCTTCCTGCTGCCACTCCAGAGGGGACACTGGGGAGGAAGAGGAAAAGAGGTGTGTCTTCCCACCTTTACTTTCTTCCCTTTCTTTCCCCTCCCCCCTAAATGGTTACCCCAGTCCAAAAATTTGCCTCCTGCCAACGGGGATGAGAAATCCTGTAAGACGACGGAACGTGTTCACTCATTCATTTATTGAGTTCATTTCTATTGAAATTTGCTTTTCTTTGGCCCGGTGGAGCTGCCTCTTTTATTCCTGTGGGTCTCTCTTGGACCAAATTCAGAGGACCAAGGCTGCCCCGGGGGCCTCTCAAATGGACATCTTTGGCCTCGTGACTAAAATTTGCCTTGTTTTGGAAAGCTGCAACACAAAAGAAATCGGATTAAAATGAAGGAAATTTTTCACGCTAAACTAATAGGCAGCCAGGCCTGCCTTAAACTACCTTTGGGTTGTCTTCCAGCATAGGAGCCCATCTTCTGATTCCCTGCCAGAGGTGGTGGGCCACAGTTTATCTTAAAAAAAAAATATGGGTCGAGTAGTGTTTATAGTCTTCTGGATTTGCATTCAACGTTTCCATACCCGTAAGACGGCGTTACACCAAGTATCACGTTTAGTTAATTTGGTTTTGCCACTTTTGCGTCTCGGCAACAGGGGTAAGTTTTTGGAAAGTGGCTGCTGCTTTGAGTCTGTAAGAAGTTCTAAAGTTTCAGTGTTTTGTTTTGGTTTCCCTTTTCCCTCCTTCCTTCCTTTTGGCTTCTGAGCGCCTTTGGTGACTGGCTGATATATTCTGTCTCTCCCTTCCCTCCCCTTCCCTTCCTTTGTTAACTGTCTGGACTTTAAACATCTCCTCTTCTGAGTAAGTTCCCTCTTACACCGATGGTGATACTCTGTGTTCCCTGCCCCCCTTACTGGTGTTTTATCCTGCCCACATCCGAGGCTGGTTTGCTCTCCTTCCTAGAGCGGTGATGGTGGTGAACCTATGAGAACTGGTGAGCTGCCACGCCATTTTGGATGACACACCTCTGCACCCTCTGGAAGGTGTGGAAGAGAGCCTTGCCCTTGTGCTACTTTTGTGGCCCCACAAAAATGTGCCAATATTCTCACGTGGTTTTCACAACCTTCGGAGACCCCGTGAGAACAAAACACTCTTGTGTGAACTCCAGAGGATCTGCAGAGGTGGTCTGGAAAGAGAGAGTTCTTTTGTCTCTCTCTCTCTCTCTGTGTAAAACACACCAGCAGGGTCTGAATTGTTGACCCCCCCCAAGTGCAAAAGGTTCACCACCACTGTCCTAGGGGGTTTGCACACACAGTCTCCATTGCACGTCCTCCAGTCATACAGATGGGGGCCAGGAGGCCATATACCAAGACCTGAAGCCTTGAAGTGCTGGAGCTCTGGTCTCCTCCTGGCCAAACCAGGAGAAATTGGCCCCAGCCTCATTCTCTAGGGAAGTTCCCTTCTCTGTAAGACCAGCATAGATCAGCTCATCTCTCAGGAAGTAGCGTGCAAAAGGTTTTTAATTTCAAATCCCCTCGAGCTTAAAAAAAATTGCTCGCAAGATCCTTGCATTTAAAAATCAAAGGAAGGAATACGAGGAGCTTAAAACGCTCCCCAAATGATTGGAAGAGCTGGTTTGGGACTTGCAGCCGCCAGTCCTTCTTGCAACCTGCAGCTCCGCATTGTTTTTATTTCTCTCTTAGGAAACCCTTTTTTTATAAAAAAAAAAACTTTTTTCTAAACACCAGGCGGGGGTTTTTTTAAGGTGTGTTTCTTTTCATCCGGTCTCTATCGGGGCCCCCTTCTGTCTCCTTTGGGGGAACCTGGGTCCTCCTTTCTCTGAAGCGGTGACCTGTTTTTGTCAGGGTTGCGGGGAAAAGCAAGCGCTTCGCCAGCTCCAGAAAGCTTAATTCTCGATGGAGGGAGCTCAGCTTTAAAGCTAACATTTCGATCAGGTTATCGGGAGAAAGATAGACTTCAGTTGGACCTTAAGAGGTTGGGAATTGGGGTTTCCTTTTGAACCTTTCTCCTTTCCACTTCATTCCTTCCCCTCTTGCTGTGTGTTTGGCTTTCTCCTTTCCTGCACACCACACAACAGATGGCTTGTAAGGGACTGGCGGGGTGTCACATTAGTCGCCATTAGGGTGGCAACCGAGATGACTTCCTGCAGAAACGTCTCCACTTGTAAAGTTGAGCTTGCTTTTGAAAGAGGACTCTCAAGAAGCTAGATAACCACAGATGCAATCCACAAATGGAAGGGAAACTTATTTAAAATTCGTCTTTGGACTTCATACGGCAGGGATCCCCAAATTTGGCAACTTTAAGACTTGTGGACTTCAATTCCCAGCATTCTCCAGCCAGCTATGCCAAAGAATTCTGGGAGTTGAAGTCCACAAGTCTTAAAGTTGCCAAGTTTGGAGTGACACAAGCTCAGATACAGGACCTCAAATTGGCCAGACGCAACCCACCTTGGGAGGTGGCCTTGGAAACATCTCCCGAGCGGTTGCCACAATTGATAGCTAGTATGGGAAAGCAGGCTGTGCCCTTCAACCTTGCTCCCATCAATGCCTGCCAATTTTGACAAACGATGTGCCAATCAATTGTGCAAGGGACCCTGGCTCCATGTTCCCCACCTGTGTTTGCAGGGAGAAGTGGTGCCACATGACCCAAGAAGAACGGAACGATAGCCTCCGTTTTAATGAGAATATCACCTTTGGACAGTTGGGGTAAGTACCAAAACCAGCCATGTTTTCAAGTAAGTGAGAAAAAGAAGACGAACTTTCACAGCCTTCCGAGATTTGTTGTTGTTGTTGTTGTTGTTGTTGTTGTTGTTGTTGTTGTTCTTCTTCTTCTTCTTCTTCTTCTTCTTCTTCTTCTTCTTCTTCTTCTTCTTCTTCTTCTTCTTCTTCTTCTTCT